ACACACTTAGGCTCAAGCTGTAAGAGAAAATTCCAATTAGTAGAGAAATTAATTTGAAAAATTACCTTGACGTTGCGATAGCTATTTTCTGCTATCGTTATCAAAAGAACCTAAATGAACTTAAAAAAGAGTATGTTAATAAATTGTCTAACAATAGTAGGATAATACAATATATGAAAATTCGCTCTGGTATTTCGTCTGTGCAAATGAGCCTAAGTATGTCGCAGGATACTCTCTAGGTGATAGTTCTTGATTACTTTTTGATAAATAATTCGTTCTTATTGCGAAATAGGAGCACTATTTATCAATCTGTAATAAAAGACGTGAGGAAATTCTGTCTTTTTGAAAGACAAAAATTTTTGGGGCGAAATATCCAAATAGAAGTTTGTAATAAATAACTATGTTGTACAATTAAACACTTAATTGATTTGATAAACTCTTGTTGCTGTACGCAGTTTAAAAATTATTCATCTTCTTAATATCAATTAACGTTAACATTAGGTACTTCTGAAAATATGCTCTTGCTATATTATAAAAACAATAATAATTGGTAACACAAAAATGAAAGGGATATTAATACTTATTATAAGTTAATTTAAAAAATGAGGAAATTAAAGGCAGTCTAGTAACTAAGTATAGTAGAACATCTATATTGAACTGGAATTGCATCGACAATGAATATATTTTCCCAAACTACATAAATAAAATAAAATGCCCAAAAAATATAAATCGCCATTAGAATAGTTCTTTGCAATATTGCCAATGGTTTATTAGTAAAGTTCTCAAAAGAAGCAGTATCGTTGTACTTACTCTCAGTTACTTAATTATAAATAGTGACATTTGTAATGTAAATGATGAATATTTAGTAACGCCTCAGTGAAATCAAAAACCTGTAAGCAACGTGTATTAGCACCTTTTTTGCTTAATGCAATAAGTATGAGCTTTAGCTAAAGCTTCCGTAATTAATCTATTTGCATTCTGCATGTCGTAAAAGCCTAATTTATGACGTTACGACTCGCTAATATAATCAGAATGCACGTTTGAAAGAAAAATGATGTAAAACAAGCGCAGCAGTTAGCAAGAAGGCGTCGGGTTTTCTATCTGCTGAATGCAAACGCTTCAATAATATACGTACATGTACCATCTCCACATAAAACAGCACCATTTCAATTTTAGAGGCATGTTCTCTTTGGGAAATGGGGAAATGGAAATGCAAGCAATTGTTAATATTTTATAAACAGCTTTCTTTTGGCATGTGCAATGTCTATTACGGGGAATTGCTATATGCACAAGCATAGATTGCTTTTTATTTTAAAACTACAGCTTTGTAGACAGCAAGCACTTTTTCTGGCATGTATTTATACTTGGATATAAATATCGTAATCAATAAGCTCTGGTTAATTAATTACCTCCGCTTCCCTAATGATTTTGCTGAGGGTTGGTCGTATAATTATATAGTTATTGACCTGCAATCTTTTTTATTAATATTCGGGCGTTCTAATTGTTTCGACACTACAAATCTGGATATAATGACGCAATTGCTTGGTCGTTATTTTCATTCACTCACATTTGATATAAGTATAATAAATTTGAAGTATAATGCATCCGTATATTTAACCGCCTTCGAGTAAAAGGCTACTAATTAAGTTTACTAGTGTATAGTTTGATACATACACCATCACGAAATTTTGAAATTATTTTTCTTGGATTTACAATTGGACTAGTGTATGGACTGGATTTACAGTGTATGTATCATTTGACTACAAGCCAAATTTGTGGTATTGAGGAACTTAGATTCATTTTTATCTTTGGGTGGTGTCCACATTGTGGTTATTTATACAATAGACATATATTAGACAGTATATATCAATATTCTGAATGAATATATAGACAGTATATATGAATATATATGCAATATATATGAATATGAATATACTGTCTAATACATTAAAATCAGAGTTACATTAAATAAAGAGTAAATTTAATAAAGATCGTGTTAGTAATGAAAAGAGTATTACACAAATAATTTACGACACCGCATTTAATCTGATGGACTGGCCCCTTAGTTTAAACCTGCATGGCCAACATGGGAAGATCGATACTATTGTAATTTGTTTAGATTGCTCAGGGCCTCTGCCAGAACTTATGGTTACATGCCGTCAATAAATTTTAACACCAAGCAAACAAAATATTCCAAACTCCCAACTTTGTTCGAACGTACGACCGTTTTTTATGTGATTGGGAAATTCCAACTCATGGAAAGCACATATGCTATATAATTTATTCTAAAAAACAATGCTTGAAGTCGATGAAGTTCGTTTGAGGTATAATAAGTATAATGACGGCAAACTAATTTTGTTTGCATGCTTAATCAGAAATATTCTTGAAAATGCAAATGCAAGCGAGTACATGTAGTAGTGGCATAGTTTATGTAGCAGTCTTTTTTGCCTCGAATTTTTGATAGAAACTGTCCTTTATATGTCCGGAATCGCTTCGTTACCCGCTAAAGCATACGTTTTTCGATTAATGTATATCGAATTTGTTTTCTTTGCGTTGATAGCGTGACATTTCTTATTAACCATATTCATATTTCATTATATTTGGCTATTTCCATGTGCATTTCCTCTATGAGTCTCTGTAATTTTACCTCTGGTATTGGTCCTTACTTTGCTACCCATACCATCTTTTTTAAACTAATAAACTGAACCTTGWAAAAACTTTTGAGTCGTTTTTCTTTAGCTGAATTTCGCAAGTAACTAGTGTGTTAACTTTATGAATTGTTATGAATTCTTTAAGCTAAATTTAAASAGTGTATTTTTATTTCATTTTTATCAATTAAATCTGCWACTATTATGTTATTGAATTTATAAAAAATCGATTTTAAGAACTTACKCTTTTATTTTTGATTTTCAAAGCTTTTCTTATTTTCTTGATCAACTCCTTTGGAAATATTTGGATCCATCCTGATATATTTGCTCAAAGTGTTTCCTCTATATTCTGTAAATTTCCGGCTATAAACACCAACGATATTAACTTTTCTACGCTTCTGTCTAGCTTCTTCCTTGATTCATTGTCTTATTTTTAACATTCACTCCTCTTCTCAATCTGTTGTATTCTTTACATCTGCAGCATCAATTTTCACATTCAACGAGTTAATGGAAACAGCCCTCTCTATACACGACTGCTGGCTTTGTGACTAACTATTAGAATCAATTCGCTTGAACACCTTCGGACTAATTAAAAATATTTTTCCAACTTTATATTGTATTGTTTCGGTTAGACGAAGAACCAGAGCACAAGCTTTTCTAATACAAGTAATGTGCAGCAATATCTGAAGGCGCGTTAAAGCTGTAAAGTGTAATGCCAAGCAGTCATTCAAAGTTAAAGTATGCTCTTTGGATTAGCAAGTAGATTTTTAACGTAATAGCTTAACACTTAAATAAATGAAGCCGTTGCTGTACAATATATGGCATCCATTAGAGATTATATTAGCGTAACATAGCAATCCATGGGAGAGCTGTAAAGTTTATATTGGACTTATACGCTTCGCCATACTCTAGACTCTAGAAAATTGATGTGGAATTTCCTGTATTACCACATTTAGTTTACTTGCTTTTATTTGCCTTGTCTGACATAATAAAAAAAAATATATATTTTTTTTTAATGTCGTAAGCTAATAATTAATCAATTTTGTATAACCATATTTTGTATTATCGTGATCAATTATTAGGTTAAGCAAATACACCCACGTTGCCTTTTATAAATGTGTTTTGTAAAAGCATTATCATTACAGATGATGCTGTTCATTCGTTAAACTCATATTAAAATTAATTTAACTGCCTGAATAAAACTGCTTAGGTGCTCTTTCGCCCTACATACATTTTGAAAACTGGTATTAAAGCTTTGAATTGTCTGCAGGAGAGAAATGTACGTGATTACATGAGTCTAAGTACTCAAGCTTGTAGTTTATGCTCTTAATACAGAAGTATCCGGCATATGAATTACTTTTATACAGATTTTCAAGTAATTTTGAACAAGTGTCTAGTAGAACACAAACAAATGAGGACACAAACTACTTTTTACTAAATAAATTATTGTCATTCTAAAAATAATCAAAATATTGATTATGTTAAAATTCATGATATTCGAGTCAGCAGTGAATGACGAACAATTGATAGCAAGGGAGTAGAGTAGCTAATTGAAATTAACAATTTAAACAAATTACAAGGGCACATAAGAAACGTACAACCTAAAGTTTGTGATTATTTCGCAAATTATTTCAAATAGGTTCACCTTCACATAGGCAACTACTACTAAAAAGGCAGCATTATGAAAACAGTTATCTAAAGAATAATGGTCGTTATTGATATCAACTGTACAAATAATTAATTTATTATTAAATCCTATAAAATGTTCAGGTAAATGATCTACTTATGTTCATATTTTAAATGTCTAATTAAATTTGTCATAAAAACAAATGGCGGAAAAGATAGGAGTATTTACAATCACCCGCTTCATTTATACATTATTCATTATTTTCCTTTAGGTCTGCGTTTGAAAATCAGCGTTTGGATTTTTTGCATCCTGCGTTTCCATCTCGTTCCTTGTGATAATAAACAAAGAATATTATTCCGGCAAATAAAGATTCACAAAAACAAATCCCCTACCGAAAATGGCAATCTCAGCAGCATTTATTTTAATATTTATAACATGTAAATAAAATCCGTTTCGAAAATATTTTGCCAGAAACGTTAGAGAAGATTGAAATTACAAATTATGGTAAAACGTGGTCTTACGAAGGGTCGGATAATTATTAAGTGTATCAGTAAAGGGAAAATTTAAATTGAAAGGATGTCAGTAGGAAGTATGTCAGCGACGCATAATAACTTACATATAATTACATATAACAGCCACGAACGCTGCAAATATGTTGCTCAAACAGTAAAATAAATAAAATTGCTGCTTGAAGAAGTGTTAGAAAAAGATGAGCCAATTTTATAAAATTGAGCTTGTTTTATTCCAGAAATTTGATTAGGAGTTCTTTTACTACCTGTCTTTAATAAGCAAAATTTTTTCCGATTTTGTTCTACAATTTTATAGTGTTTTAATTTTTTCTTTTCCATTGAGGAGATTACCAGCAATTTCCTTTCCAGCTGTTTACTAAATTTCTTCTCATTCTTGAAACGTTTCTCTCGTTCCCAGCATATTCTTTTTGTTTCAAATTTGGAGTTAATTTTTTAAACTATTAATTTTTGTTCAGATATTCTTAATTTTGCTGATATGGCCTGTAAATATTTATTTTAAAAGGGGGAACATAAAAGTGCTTTGGAACTTACATTACACCCAAATTGTCGTAACAATAATAAGCCAAAATTTATTTGCAAGATATTTAACGACTGTGAACTGACTGGAATATTTAATTATTTGCAGAAATCAGCAAAAGTGGCTTAACCATACAGATCAAATTAATATGGTTTTTAAACTCGTAGTCATATTAAAATAAGGTTCCTTAAAATGCAAACTTATAAATTCGGAAAAATTCCTAGTATATGTTGGAAAGTTATTCTATCAAATTTCTAATAGAAAACCCGCTGTTTGACTAATTAATGATTCGCATGGGTTGAATTCAATCCACGAAATTCGTTGTTTTGATTAACTAATATTTAATTAGGACAGGAGAATATTAAAGTCCTCTCTGCTTGAGACCTTATCTTGTGGGACCTAAGTAAATCACAGCACACCCAATTTGCCGAAAATAGCAACAGCTCGCCAATAAATCTGCTTCCTCTATGCAATCTCTATATACGCGGGTCTTAAGCTTTGTTAGCCTAATTGATTGGCAAAAGGCCTATGGAAGTGAGTTCTATCTTGGTTCATTGGTCAGGCAAAATCCGGCATCTTGCCTACAATGTATACTTACGGACAATCTGGTTGTCACCCTAAATACTGCAGGGTTTTCCTGTAAGCTTTAGAGAATAAAAAAAAAATTAGGTTTGTTCTGCAGATATGAAATAATCGGACACGTTTGGACACTAACACGATATAACTGCGATTATATATGAAAATCGTGCTCAATTCTGCTGACCTTGCAATCATTATTTAATGATAATTACCGTCACCTTTACCATTACTTATTGACCCAGCAATCCAGGATTGTTAGTAAACGTTGAATTGTTAAGTTCATTGAAAAAGGGTGACGTATTTTACTCATGCGATCAAGTTTCTGTAGTGGTAACACTTAAATAACGTCTTGTGATGCTTATTGGAATAGTATTGGTTTATTTTTGCTATCCATACCATTTTGCGCCCGATGTTTTTGTACCATTTCTCACATGTATATGTACATATTTTGATGGTCTATATTTCTCCCATTAAAGCACAGTGACGAAATCTAATCCACCGGGTTATGGCAATGTAAGGAAATTTATAATAATTTGAACAACTGAGAAAACAAACCGCTGGTACTCTTCCTTTAAAATTGTTGTCGAAGTGTTGAGGTACCTGCCCACAAGCCGGTTTCTTATTTACATATTATTTTATACTTGATTTTTTATGCGTTGCATCATTATATCTTCCTTTTTAATTTAGTCTAGCTTGATTATAAATTCTCAAATCGCTTTATTGATATGTATTATTTCTAAACATTATCAACCTTTAAACTACTATTTTTGAACTTTCTAGCCAATAAGCTTGTGGAAACTCGCTATGCTCTATACTTCAAACTTTGGCACATAAAATTCAATCAACTTATCGATTTACGAGTCCTATAACGTATTGTGAACTGCTAAAGCCCTTCAAGTGGTTGCATTCAATGCGAAAAATATTTTAAAGTCGAATTACAGTTACTACTATTTACGGGTTCCCAAGGGAATTGAGATACCCCCGTGCTCAACTCCATTCTCCATAAATATTCCTGCTGATTCTCTACAATAAAATTCAACGGCAAATTCAGACATATTATTGAATACAAAAGGGAACCTTTTATACTTCTTTTCAGCAGTATGTATTTATGTCAGCCCATTCACGCGGACTCAACAATATTTTCACAATACTTACGGTGGCACTTTCTTATGAGTATAGGTAAAATTGACTAATGTACATTCAATTCAATAAGATAAATACTTTCCTGTGAATCGAAATTGTCGTGTACAAATTGATCAGAGTTTGCTGTTGAATATCATACACAGCAGCCTGGAAGTGCTGCCTTTCGTCTATATTTTGTCAGTGGTTTCCAGAAAAAATTAACTGCGCCATATAGTTGGTTTGTATTAAATTAAACACCTATGGAATACTATCAAGCCGACAGCTAAATAATAGAAATACCATAAAAATAATTGTCGTCACGACACTCAATCCATGCTATGGATATATTTCTACAAAGGAAATCTCCTTTTCCGTTTTGAGGCTGTGTAAAGAGACATCATAAGAGATATACAAATCTTCAGATTTTTGCTGGAAACTTCGGCAACATGCGCGACACCGTTCTATTCAAAACTGTTGAGATGTTTGGACCTTACATTCTGAGATTTAAAATTTAAAAGGGAAATCCTAAAGAAACTGATGTCCGATTCATCCAGCACTAATTCATCGCAAATATTTCGTAATGGATATGTGGTTGGCCAATTTATTACCAGTAAATTTGAACCCTTATTGTATAATAATCATATAATTTAATAATAATATTGCAGCAAATGCAAAATTGATTTGATATTACGTTGAAAAGAATTAAATTAGGGGTAGTACACTTGCGGCTCTGCATTAACGAAAGTTTCTGTTGTTTCCAGAAGAAAAGCCGGCAGCGATGCAACACGCTAACTCTTCGAGAAGCTCTAGTTCATCGTTCCTGCTGCAGTGCAGCTTGTTAATAGCGATAATGACTTCAGCTTTAACGACTACGTCGTGATGTAAATAATAAATAAGGATCAGATGCAGAAACTCGCTGTCAGAATACTGATTTCCCATGGGACAGATTTTATGCGGAAATTCCGTTACCTCTGGATTATAACTTAATAAAATTGATCACGTCATGAAGCAAACTCTTAACGAATTTCAGGTAATAAACCATATATCTTTAACAAGGGCGAAATGAACAAAAACATTAACTCCAACTGTTTCGTCATTTCACAGCAGTTACCGTTCTTAAAAGATGTAATATATTCTAACATATTCTAGAAAACAGGAAAATACCTCTAACTGCATTAAAATACCCGTAATCGAAATTCTGGGTGTGGGATTTTCCCTACAATGCATTTAGAACCTTTTGTCAAGCAGTGGGTGAATTGTATTAAGGAGATCACGTTGTGGGTTTCATGTTTCTTTTTCCCGACATTACTTACCCCCACGTTGCTTTCAAGTTGCTAGGCGTGAGCCAGAAGAAGCAGTAAATATCAAAGAGGCAATATTTCTGCATGCGAAATAAAATATTAATATATCAAAAGCAAGAAAACATGCAGATTAAATTAGAAAGGCAGAATCAGGTCATGAAATAAACATGTATTGCTTATTTTTTCAGTGGATCTTTTGAGACACTGTTTTATATTCGATGGCAGCCTTATTTCCGTTATGACCTATACCGATGCTCTCATCTACATGTACCTTCACGTATCTCTGAGCAAGTATACAAAATTAAGAAACAAAACTGCAACTAAAACGATGTGACCTCTTTTGGTAAGAGAAACATGGGCATTTGGTCTCAAATTGAAGCAGTTGCAACTTTGGTTGCCGCGCAGAATATTCATAATTTGAACTGAAGTTTTTAGCACCCACTTCTGAAAGCATAAATTTACATTTTACCATTAAGTAAAAGAGTTTAATTAATTAGTTGAACGGTGGTACCTGCAGGCTAAACGTGTTATTATAAACCTGTTGAGGTAATGGTATTTCGTTCAGCAACGGAAGTAGTCCCTATAAAGTACGCTTTCTTCAAGTTTTTCTAAACTCAAGCAGATTGACATGTCGATTTTAAAAAAAATCGTTCTCCATATATGATTGGGAATATTTTTAGTTTTCGGAGATTAAATATTTTCAATCTGACGGCGACAATTACAAACAACCAAATACAGGTCAGAATAGATCAACAGAATTTCTCATTGCCAAAATTCTAAAATCCATAAATATCTTAAAGTTGACGAAATTTTGACGATCAGGTTTAAAATAAAATTTGGTCATCCCTATATTTTTGAGAATGATTGTTAGGAAATTGTTGGATTTCCAAAATCCATTTATTATGCTTGTCAAAAAAGCCACTTGGGAATAAATTATTTTCTTCCGATACTACAGGTGTACAAAAATCTAAATTAAAGGCACGAAACACTATTGATGACTATCTCCCAGTTACCCACTAATAAATCTAGTTGTAGATATTATCTATATTACCTACAAATTGACCACGAAGAGAAATCACTATCAGACAGCGATTAATTATCATTGTTTTCATAATTATAGAATTATACTTCTATTTTGTGATATTTCATATCTGTAAATTATACAGCTTAGAAATTGTAGTAAGTCTCGTTTCCGGCCACGTGAAATAAAATAAATAACTTGTTTCTTCGCTGTATTGCAGCAAGCTTTAACGGTTATCGAACAAGCCGATAACCCGTGCCCTTAATCTATTGCTTGCATACAGTCACTAGGGCAAATATGTATTCCCCTGTAAATTATCCGTTGAACGCGAAGGCTTTCCAATAATAAAGTGAATTTGAACAGCCAACTATTTTTTTTGAACCGCTGATTTTTACTTGCTATAACTGTACTTTCTGCTTCGACAATTTACCAGTGATTTGAGTTTTCGTGCTGGTTGTTCATAATATTTGATCTATTTTCTAGAAGAACCTATATAAAATTACCTCCAGAAGCCTTTAAGGTGACGAACATCAAAGGAAAACAGAATGCTTAGCAACTTTTCCTCCAGCAGTTTGCCACTCTTATTCTGATTTGTAAAATAATAATTTGGTGTTTAATAATTAACTACTTGGGAAGTAAGGACGACTCCTCGAGAAAAGTTTTATACTCTCTCAGGTCTGTGGGCAATTTCAAAAATTTACGAGTTCGTTTCGTATTCGTTTAATATATTATTTTTTCTCCTTCATTAATAGATGAATAACAGGCGAAAATGTTTAGCGTTTTGGGTGATTTATTATTTAAATACGAGTACGTCTCTTCCTTTGTATTCATCTCGTGTAGTCACCAATTATAAATCTAGTCGCAAATTTGATAACTTTTATAATTTTGGTTCGCTTATGTGGCACTGACTCATGAGAATGCCTATCTTAGACCTTTCGCTTAAATGAAAAATTTAATACTTCACGTTCAATTTGGTGGAGAAAAATTATTTGGGCTAACCAAAGTAACTAGTGTACGAATAACTTTAAAATAGTACACATGCTTACAGCTCTTTTATATCAGGCATCATGGCATATTCAAGATTATTAAGGATATAATTTGGGATTCTGATGAATACAGAAAATAATAATTATTAGAAATTTTCAAAATGAACCCGTGGAAATCACTGCAATTCCGGCTCAAACCGGCCCCTTTTGGAGACTGTCGTGTGGGTAAAAACCGTTTAACTGCGCCAAAATCCCGCAGCAAAGCGGCTGTTGCAACAACCGTTCTCAACATTTTATCCTAGATGAATAGTTTTGCGGTTTCAATGCTTAAATCGTGTGATGACTGTAAGGATTCATGTAACATCTACTGCGTGTACTTTGAAAGCCCAGTCGAATAAAACATAGCAACATCAGGCAAATCTGATTTGTCGAATTTGATATTATTTTGATCAAATATTGATATTCACGTTTCGAACTTTAGGCGTTACTATTGTTTAATGACAATAAAAACAAATGATGAAATTGAAGGCGTGCTAGGTTTCCCAAAATTATAGATTTTGCGCTTCATGCAAGCAGCTTTTTATTTTACTGCCCTTTAATGGCCTCCATACCATAGGGAACAGTTCCGACAAAGTTTTTTTTTACATAATTTCGACATAATTTACAAGTTTTTCAAAATACCTACTAGCATCTGAAAACACAAATTAAGTCTCTCGTAGTAACAGTAGCATCAACTTGTACTTGCGTCGTTACTGTTCCAGACAAGCAACATTTGTTTAGCGCAAAGAAACGCATTCAATAAGCTAAACGCCAAACATCATTTCATTTAACTTCAACTGGGAATTGAGGATTTAGACCCTTCACCCACATGCTGATAATCTATTTTATTATTATGTAAAATGGTTGATGAAACGAGACTTAGATGTTCCATATCTTGTCAATAGCTATTTAAATATAATATTCATTCCTGACCTAATATCATCGTTATCTAATATCACTTGTAAATCTGTACATATCACCTACAGCTATCACGGTATACCATTTTTTATATGGATCGTGTAGATTAAGCAGTTATACTTACCAAACTTTATTCAGCGCCTGATTGATTTATGTTAGGTGCATCGCCAATAGTTCTCTTAAGCTCATTTCCGAAGGAGTTTTTTAAGTCGACTGATGAGATGTTGGAGCCCGGTTTCAAAATAGCAATTATGTTTCCCTATTCAGACAATGTACCAAAAACCAGCCAAAGTATTGAAACATTTTTGTTTTTAATTAAATCGTAAAAATGTATTTAACTTTTAAAAGTAAACTAATACCATACATGTCAATACCATTAGTCCTAATTAATTACATTTACTTGATAATATCATGAATGTAAGGTTATTATCCGTTACCTGATAACTAACATATTAATTAGTTGCTTTAATCTGTAGGTATATCAGACGTCGTATATTTGTGTAGAATATCCACAAAGAAAATAATAATGCCGTTTAATCCTAAATTTCTTTCTAAAAACAGTTACATTCGAAAGTTTGTGTTTTGATATGGAACTACGCACTTGCTTTTGGTTCTGTTAAAAGCTGAAAGTTTATTTAAAATTTTCAACTTATCAGTAAAATATTTCCCAACGCCAATCATGAAGACAAAAAATGATGCAGCTTATTATATTTACCATAGTTGACATGTTTTGTATGTTAATTTTGTTTTTAGTTTAGCAATTTATTTTTCCGAGACAAATAGTGAAGAAAACCTCTCTAAATAAGATGGATTCCACCGAAGCGTGATATTTCTGACATTCGAATATTTGTGTTTAATAAAAGTTTGCAAATATTTTTTTTAATTGTTAAGTTAGCAAAAGTGGACTTGATCTAGTCAGCTCTCACAAGGAACAATGGCATATACTGAAAAAACAGTAATTGCGAAGTGAGGTAATATGAGATAATTTAGTTCGTTCACCCTATATATTCCTAATTATGCCAAATTTGTAATTGTAGCTATTGTAATTTATTTTGGATATATGAATGGTCTATAAATATAAGGTTTAAAAAAATGTTTATGTGTCATTTTCCATTATTTAATATAAATTGTCAGTTACTGATGACCCGCTTTAAATTAGAATTATTCGTTATTCAAAATTAAATGTAAATCTTTAAGGCGAATTCCTGGTCTGTTGATTAAAAAGGATCCTAACATCAGCCTGTAATCGCTTACAGGATATTAACTTTGTCACAGTAAATCGAAACAGCTGAAGTATTTACAATAAATAATACACAATGCCCATAAGAATGTCGAGGTGAGTTTCGTTAGCAATACGCCTACCAACAACTTGTAAAACTGAACGGAAGTTATAAATACATTTATTAAAAATTACCATTTTAGCTTTTGCCAAATCGTGGGCAAAATCCAGGCCATATTAAATCGTTAGCAGTAATTTGATTTCGTACTTTGTAAATCACCCCGAAATTTATATTTTCAGCTGGGAGTAGATATTTGTCCGATGTGCTCTTTGTTTATCCTGTATATAATTCCCAAAAAGAACATAATTAAGGTGGAACACGTGGCCCGCAACGTTTAGGACTTCATTCGTCACATGGCAACTCATTGGTCCTCATACAACTTCTAGATACAGGAACAGTAAGGTAATTATAATGTTTCAGCTTCTGCAAAATATCCATCCTTCTGTTAAAATTAATATCTTTCTATTGTGCAATATTGTTTTAGTCAATTATTCGTGAAAAATCCTGAAACGGTTATAAGGTCGTCATATTAGAGCGTCATTCGTAACAATTTAAGCAACTTACTTAGGCGTTAAAGGCGTACTTGGCTACTGGCATATCGATGAAAACGGGCAAATCTAACACAACTTGATGGTATTAATCCATTTAACGGTTCAAAAAAGTGTATTAAGCAAACTTGTTTTTTACTGCCTAAGTTTCCCAACCCGTTCAAAACATACAGTATCAAAACCAACGTAAAAATTTGCGCTCTGTTTAACAGAATTTTCTGGCTATAAACAATCACGGTTCCGAAAATATTAAAATTTTTTTTGAGGGAAAACCAGTAACTCCTAATATTTAGCAAATATACAAAAAAGCAATTTTATATGCAAAAGGAGCAGACTAAAACCAATAAGAACTCTATGAACCACAAAACAAAATTTCATATTTGCAAACCTCTTCGGAAAGACAACATCGTTAGAATGAGGCAAACTCTCTCTCTAGGTCGCGGGTATATTAATAATAATAATAATAATATCTTTATTAATAGCTCTTGCTAGCAAATAAATACAATTTTTAAACATTTAACAAAAATTTAAAAATATTCTAAATCAAATGCTATGTATATAACACAAGATTTTTTAAAGATACCAAGACTATTACTGCACCTTACATCTCGTGGCAACTCATTATAACATTTCAGTCCCTTATAAAATAAACTGTTTTGACTAGAACTACTACTAA